ATCAAGGCTACTAAACAGGTGGTTGTTCTGACTTCTATTGCCTTCTATAGACCCTTAAGTCAAATGGTATCTGTATTTTTAATTTTGGGGAGAAAAATCCATCTGCCAGTGTAGTAAAGTCTGGTGGGCAGGCACCTCTCCAGGGTTCTCCAGAGCAGCTGCATGCTGTGTGCAGAAAGAAAGTCTTGAGGGAAGAAAAAAGAAGTTTATTGTGGATATGTGAAGTACTTTGTAATATTCTGGGTTTTGTTTGTTGTTGTTGTGTTGTTTTGTTTTTCCAGAACTCCTGACAAACTTTCCATTTAGTTTTGATGGGTACTTACCAGAAATGGTAGTGATACTCCACTGGTCTGAGTTTATTCAGACTCATTAGGACAAATATTGATTTCTTCTCCATCATGCTTCTTCCAGTAAAGGATTTATTCTTGCCTGATGTGACTCAAAGAACAAACTTTATCCCTTGATATCAAACAAGAGTAAAAGCTAGCTATCAAAGTGGAGATTTCTGATTTAGTTATCAGTAATGAGTTGCCCATGGAGGGATATTGTTTCCCTTGGTTTCCAAATGTTTGTTATCTGCTTAGTGAGGAAGTCTTTGTTATGTACCCAGTGAGATCTCAGGTGGGTCTCTTTTGCTTAATTGTTCTGGTCTGCAGGAGCAACGAAATAGGCTCAGTTGTTGTGTTTGTTTGCTTTAAAACAAAGCAAAACAAAAAACCCCACAACATTTTAAGTAGTTGGAAGAAGCAAATGTAGGAATTAGTACTTGACTGTATAAGCTATTAGGTTGTAAGCTAGGAGGAGTATATTGAGAGCTTTACAAAATGCATTTTAAATGGAATTACTGACATGTAATTGTTGGTTTGTAAATTACTGTGATATGTTAAATGTACTACTAATTCTGCAACACCCTGTATATAAGATACGTAATAAGTTCAGTGACCAGAGCATGAATTAGAGAAGGCATGTGTGTAGTCACAGCAATAAGCTATCGTCTTCTCACCTGATGAGAAACATTACCTTAGGAAGTTTTTTTTTTTGCTGTGTGGCTTTATTTTGGTTCCTGCTTTTTCTGGACAACAGATGCTGGACGTTGAACATTCCTGCTCTCTTGCCCTCAGATTCTTCTCCAGTCTGTGGTAGGGGGTGGTTGGGCTGTGGCCCTTCACTGCCCTTCCCCAAGATACAGCCTTGTTTTGTTTTCTGGACCAATTTCTTGTGGTTTCAGCTGTCGTTTGCTTTGTGTTTAGTTTTCAGGGAAGTGTATATAAAGCACACCATGAAGTCATAAATCTAATTCCTCACAGTTTAATGAGGCAGAAGGGAGTGATACATTCATTATTGTAATGAAGAAGGTGCAAAATGTAATCTGTCTGAAATAGCTGCTGTGTGCTGACAGTGCCCCGTGCAGGCTGTTGTCATACTAGTTAACTTAATCTATAAACTTGTCTCTTTGAGGGACTAGTTTCTTAGTTTGGTCAGAGTTTGTCTGAAACACCATCTAGAGAAAATAAATAACAAAGCAGTTTCTGCTCCCTTTTTCTTCCTTTCTTGTGTGGAAGTGGCCCAGTTCTCTTCCCACTTAGGCTTACTCTGAAGAGTTCAGTCATATAGTGGTCACTTTATCTGACAGCTCCTTCCCTCTCTTTCTCTTTTTTCTTGATTCAGAAGTACTGCTTTGACTGCTGTTATATTCAAAACTTCTTCACCACTCAAAGTTCATTTCATCTCCAGTATTTGTTTTTTCCCTTGGCTGCATTTTGCTTTACATCCTACTTACTCTTGAGCTGAGATGGCCTCTGCTCCCTTGCTTTTTTTTTTTTTTTAAACTTCCCAATGGTTCTGAATGGTAATTCAGGATTAAGGACTGCTTTGGAACAGGCATTGCTTGTGGCTCAGGAGATGCCTGAGCTGCCAGCTGCTGGGGACCAGGAGGCTGTTTTGGAGAGTGCTGGGATTTGCTTTCCATACTTTTGATTTTTTTTCCATTTTGGCCACCGACATGATGTTGAGCCTCTGGTTTGATTGACTGTAGCTATTTTTGTTCGTATTGTTTCACTGTCTTTATTTGTTTGAAGCTGAGGTAGACAAACTTTAGCTTTATATGACACTTGAATTTGACACTGGCTTGAAAGTACAAAATCGTCATCCAGTTTGTAATGTAGCTCAGACTTTTTCTTTATATATTTACATAGTTTTTCGTGGAAAGGATTATTCGAGACAAGTAAAAAAATAAGTAGCCTCTAAGCACTACAGTGCGCTCAGTCTTTCTGCTCAGTGCACTGCAGCAGTTGTGCCTTGGAAGAAGTCAGACCAAGTTCACTCAGTGTTATGCATGAAAAACACTTCTAAAATTAAGTGATTAAATAATTTCACTTGGATCTCTGGTGTATTTTCCTGTCTGAAAGAAAGCCATTCTTATTTGAGCTGGGAGTAGAAAGACAAAGGAAAAAATTCCTTTACCATGACCTTATAAATACAGACATTTCAAGATCATTGGCATAATCCTGTAGCATAAATCCTTTTAAAATACTATAATCAGCAGAATGGGGACACTTTTATTGCTGATTATTTCTGAAAAACATTAGTGGGGTGATTAGAGCCCCAGGTAGCTTGGGCTGATTCTGCTGTTAGTGTGGTAAAGCTGCAGTTGGAAAGCTTGTGGTCACTGACGTCTGCAGTCACAGTACTCCTAGATAGCATGAATATTGCTATTACAACCCTGTAAAACTGTATCAACAAAATGGGGGTCGGAGGAAGTGAGAAGAAACCAAAACAATCAGGTAACTCTAGCTGCTGAAAGGCCTGGAAGCACCAATATGCTGTATGACATCTGAGCAGCCCTAAATTTATTGGCACTTGGCCTCTAGCAAACATGAGAAAGTTTGGGTTCATCAAGTCTGGTCTGCTGGCTTTTGGGGGTAAGTGGCAAGGGGTTGGGTGGCCTCTGTGGGGAGGGAGTAGGGGCTGTGCTGTGCTGGGCACAGCTGCTTCTAGCCCACTCCATAACAGCCACCACAGGACACAGCTGGGCTCAGCAGTGAGATGCTGGCACCTCGGGGAAAACATATTTAGGGGGATACAGAGCTCTGCACAACAGTGTGTGGAGTGAGGTAAGGTGTGGGAAACAGCCCTGTAACATTTGCTTAGTGGGTTCTCTTGAAAAACATTTACCCCTTCCTAAAATATCAGATCTGAATGTTAATAGATGATCTTTGTGTGAGCTTGAAACACTGTGGCTATTTCAATTAGTCAAATATGCAGCTTTTCTCAGTACTTCAGTATTCGAGTTGGAAAACGTTGCTGTGCTATACGCTATGCATGGGACAGTACTTCTCAGTTGGAAGATGAACACCAAGTAGGAAGGGTTTCTGTGAGATGTTTTGGACAACTCAAGATATGTACCTGTTAGTTGTCTTTTTTTGGCTAGGGACTCTAGAATTTGCAGATCCTACAGAAAATCTTGGTAGAAGCCAGACATGCATCTGCTATGTTGACATTCTTATATTTAGCACCCCTCATATAAAATAGCCATCTAGCTTTCTGCAGGGAAGGAACAGGGTGATCCACGTAGTTTCCCATCGCTACATTCACAGAAACTGAATGATGTCTCAGTGATGTAGTGTTCAGACACAGCACATGCAGGCTTAAATCAAGAAATAAGAACTTACAGTGCTGGGAAGATTTTCTTTTTGTGCTGTTTATTCCCTACTGTTCCCTTCATGTGCAGATACTGAAGAAATCACTGAGTGCAGGCCTTAGTTGAAGTGATTGGTGCTCCTCAGGACCAGCAGGTGTATAATCCAGAGGAACTAGTTTAGATACATTAGGGTGTTTTTGTTTTTGTTTTTTTATATCTGTCTATTAAACAGGTGTTACAACACTTGGCAACTATTTGTGGCTTCACCATCCTTGCAGAAATCTGGATTTATAAAATGGCGAGTGGATTGCAATTATCCAAAAATACTTTATTTTCATTTCTGACAGTTATAACTCTATTCTAGTGGCTTTTCTTCTTACGTAAAGAAAAACAAAAGGTACTGCCTTTAGGCTAACACTGAAAGACCACAAATAGGGTACTTTTGAATATCAGTAAGCAAAGAATGTGTAAAACTTGGTTTAGCACAGTCATTCAAAGCTGCATGATTTTAAGATGAGCAGGAGTGCATTTTTTTTCTGGTTGGTTTGAGTGGAGAAAGCATAAGAAATGGAGTGAGGACTTGTTAAAACAGAGCAATTATTTTTGCATATGCTAATGATGATTATTATTTTTCTTTTTTCCAACAAGAGGAAAAACTGAAAAATTATAGTCCAGCAGTTAGTGATCATTTATCATCTAGAAAGTAGTGTTGGGTATGCTGGCTATTCAAGCCTTTGCTTTTCATTTTCTGCTATCCCATGTGCCATGAGTCAGGGCCTTCTCTTCCAAAAAGTGTACGCATACTTCAGATGATGAGAAATTTCTTGAACCACTTAGCAGTAGTTGTTAACTCTGCTAGACCAGATAGTTAAGCTAACCTGCATAGTAAGAGAACTGACTGCTTTCAGCATGAATTTCATTGCAGTGGGACTGGCTGAAGTATTTGGGGTGTTAGTGAACACATGATTTTTCTCAGCAGTAGCTGTTTGGGGTAGAGAAGAGTGAACAAGTATTAATACTTGGGATGGTGTTGAAAGACATGAGAGGCATTGGGTTTTAGCTGCCCTGAAGTTTAAGAGGATGTACCACAACTGCTGTGGGCTCCTACATCACTCAGACATGTGTAATGAAGGTGTCAGTGCACATTTCAGTATAGAGGCATATTTTCAGTATAGAGGCGTGTATTCCTCATCAGCCTGACTGTTGTGTGACTCAACCTAATGTCTCAACGTGAGGTCTTGTTAAAATGCTGTTCTCTTCAGTGCTACTGCCCACTATTGCATAGTACAGAGATGCCTTGTTACAGTTTGGATGCATTTGCATATAAACATGAAACATTTACTTCTGTTTTATACTTCAGGCAACAAGAGCTTCTTTGACTCACCACTGTAACAGTCTGGGGGACTCCTTGGGCAAGGAAAACGATATTGCTCTGATTATTGATGGCCATACACTGAAGTATGCCCTTTCATTTGAAGTCAGGCAGAGCTTTCTGGACTTGGCACTCTCCTGTAAAGCAGTCATTTGTTGCAGGTAAGAAATTCGGGAATTTATTTTAACGGTAACAGAATGGGCATGAAGCTTTATGAAATTTCCTTTTATGTTAGCTTTCATTTCATACTTAGAGTATACTATTCAAGAAGTAAGCTGCAGTCATGAGCCACTTGATAAAGTAATTGATTTCTCTGCTGTGGAACTGTTCAGAAGCTGGGGCCGTGCTGGGAGAAGCAAAGGAGAGCTATGGAGAAGTATTACTCGTATATTGCAGCCAGCTCTGTGAAAGCATTCATAAGACTGACCAACAGGCCAATGGAGTTGAAGATTTCAATTCTACAGGATCCTCTTTGGTGCAGCAGCCTTGTACACCTTCATGATGAGAATTCAATCAGCTGCACCACTTATTCCAATAGATCACAAAAATTTGCCTGTTTGTAGTTGAAGCCATACATCTTTTATATGAGGAGAGGTTGTGAGGACTGGAACTGTTCAGGACAGAGGCGAGAAGTCTTAGCAGGTATCTTGTTGATTGGTATAAGCACCTAATGGGAGGGAATGAAGATGAGGGGGACAGGCTCTTCTGTAACAGTGCCTAATGACAAGACAAGAGGCAAGAAAAAAGGTATGACATCTGAAATTTTAGCTGAATACAGGAATACAGTATTTTACTGTACAAGCGTCAAACAAAGGAATGAGTTTCCTGGAGAGGTTATGGAGTCTCTGATGTTAGACATGGAAAATGCACCAAGATACATTCCTGAACAGCCTGTTATACCAGATCGTGCTTAAGAAGGGCAATTGAACAAGATGATTCCAAGCTATGCTTATTCTATGATTCTGTGACTGCATGAAAGTGTTGTTGTATGGGATCTTTTTTGTTTTCTCCAGTCAATGTTCTTAGCCCTTCTCCAAAGCTCTCTTCTGAATGGTTGCCAACTACAATGACTTTTAATTCCAGCTCAGTCCCTTATAACAGTTTTTTAGCTGTTGCTGTTTGATTATTTTTTCAAGGGAGCATGGCATGAGGTATTTATGAGTTTCATTTTTGCAGCTGTTTCGTAGGATGGAATAAATGTGTGTTTTACAAGGTGGAGCTAATATAATTGCAGTAATTGTCTCTTGAATACAACGGGTCCAGTTCTTTTTGGGATCCAAGATAACAGTGGAATTATTGAATCCACCATACACTTCTTATGCCACTCTTACTCACCATAGAAGTGTGTGCTTGTACATAGAGCTGGTCTGTGTCGGTCTGTTACTACCTTTGTGCTCAGTTACCTTGGGCTTACAAACCATCGACTGCTCAGGAAGTAAATGGATGCCATGCTGTCCACTAATGCTGTAATCTAGGGAAGGAAGTTGACAACCAAAGTCGTCATTTTCATCATCTATCTGTACTCTTTGGTATAGATCATTCTGAAGCAGATTGTTAGTTTATTCCTCAGAGATTTGGTGAGCTCTGTCAAGGACCTATGTAGTTGAAGGAAACAATAGGCTGAAATTTTACTGCAATTTTTAAAATTTGTAGTTCATTTTATATGTATATATATATGCCTGTTTCCAGATATTCCAGATGCCTGTTTCACAAACAGAAATGTAATGTTAGGCATAACATTTTTTTTTCTTTTACTTTTTCATAACCAAGCTAACAGGAGTTTTAATTATTAATGAATTAGAAAATTGAGGAACAATGCAGGAAAACCATACTGTAAAGTATAAATCAAAGGGAAAAGATGATGTAATTTCTTAGGCTTAAAAAGAGAAATAAAAATAACAGGGTTTTGAATCCCCGGGGAAAAAGAGGAATGCCTTTAATAGCCTTTAAGTCTTTACAGGAAACTTTTTCATTTACTTGCCAGGTGCTTGATACTGAAAGAGGAAAACATTTTTTCTACTCTGGGCTGCTTTAATGGTACTTTGTGTGTAAAACAAGACAGTGCACTTAAACTTCAACAGGAAAAAGTTTTAAAATGTAATTGGCACAGCAAGAGGAAATTTCAAATTAAACGGAGTTAGTCTTCAAACAAAAATGTTAATTGAGAGGGGGATCTGGGTCTTTAAACTTGGTGGTATGATGTTTTGGGCACTTTAGGAGGAGTGGTGTTGCTATTCTCAACATAGCATAAATTTGTGGGACTTAATATTTCATAAATTTACTGTAAGATTTTTCATTCCCTCTGGGTGTTTCAGCTGCATTTGCCATTCAAGGATTTTTTTATTTTTTTATTTTTTAATATACTTACTATATACTGTATGTTCATTTGCTGGGCTTTAGGCATAAACTGTAGTTGAACTTGATTCTCAGGAGTAATCTCTGAAAATGAAACTGTAGTAAGCCTGGCCCCGTTTTGCATTTAGAGGGAGAGATGGTATCTTCTGCTGGGGTTAAGTCTTCCAGTGTTGCATAGTCTCTTAACAGGCCACTGGCACAGGAGGAAAATACACCCCTTGGGAGAGTGGTGAAGCCTGAAAAATCAAACCAAACAGTTCTTTAAGAAAAAGCCTTGTTTGTTGAAAGTTTTTTCAGAGACTGACAGATCTTATCTTCCTTTATACTGACTGGGATATTGGTATGCAACTGGTCCAAAGCGAGCAAAAGTTACTGTTCAGCAAAAAGAAATGTTGCTTGGAAAGCAGTTCAGTTCCATACTTCATTTGCAAGACCTGGGCTGTTGCTCATCTTTCTATGGAGTTCACATGTTCCTAAAAAATGTTTTCAGTTTTTTTATGCGAGTAGCAAAATGTGTTAAATGGTTAAATGAGGGTGTTTCTTTTTGGTAACAAAAGGATATTTTATCACTTACCTATGTTTGTGCCTCTTAGAGCAGGTTAGTTTGTACAGCAGATCACTCTTTGTGTTTGAATATGAACGCAAAGAAAGATGCATCTTTCATGTGACTACAGCATAATTAACTCCTTACTGAAGAGCCTGCCCTGATTTAAAATCATCCATGCTTCCTGAATGAAACAAAGATCTCTAGAAAGATGGGTGGCACGAGGCTAGGACAACTTCTCTCATTGGGTTCCCTTAGGGTGTTTCTTGTGTTGGTTGTATTGCTGGCCACCGCTGAAATACATCTTGAAGTAGTGGCACTGGGCTGCTGTTTAAGCAGTGTATGTATTAATTTTATCGTAGAATCATTTGAATTGGAAGGGACCTTTAAAGGTCATCTGTTCCAACTCCTCTGCACTGAACAGGAACACCTACAGCTCCATCAGGTGCTCAGAGCTCTGTCCAGCCTGCCCTTGAGTGCCTCCAGGGAAGTGGCGTCCATCATCTCTCTGGGCAGCCTGTGCCAGTGCTTTTCAACATCTATCTCTACAGACAAGAATGTTGAACTGAGCTTTTGTACCTAGACCCTGCAGCCTTCTTCAACAGTGAGCAATGGCCTGATGTGAAGAGGGCTTGGGTAGGTGTGGCAAAAGAAACCAAAAACTCCACTTCATGTCTGACTTAAAATCTACTGTTCTGAACTTCTTTATTCACAAATGAGGAACATCAGCTGGCATGCTGTGCAATCGTAGGGATTGTAATCACTCACCTCACAAATCTGTTCCAAATGAAACAACAGGAGAAGCCAGTCAAAAATTTTTTGTTTCATTGCTGTTTCAATTGAAGGTTTTGAGAACTTGGGACAATTGTGTTGTGTCTCATACCTCTTCACTGAGATATAGTGAAGTATTTTCTTCTTAAAGACAATAAAGTTAGTTTGACCACCCTTTTCTTTTCCTGCATTTGTTGCATAAGAGCCATTTGTACTATAAGGCCACTGACCCTTAAATCCAGTGTTTATCTGTTTTTGCTTTTCTTGTTGGGCTGATGGAAATTAGTGTAGCTGTGAGGAATTGTGAAGGTATTGTGACTTCATTACACTGATATATATAAGTCCCAATATCTCATTTTTGGGTTTTGGCTCTGGACTAATAGTTAACCTCAAGAGGAACAGAAATAAATGTTTCAGTAGCTGTATAATCTGTCAACTCTTCTTCCCCGCAATTAATTGATGCCCTGTTCTGCAGAGACCCATGAAATGGCATTACAGTATAAAGAGAAATTGAGGAAATAGAGCAACAGTGATTTCTGTGCATTATCTGCTGTTTCCACAGTGCCATTTGCCCTTTTGTAGTTACCACACCACTATTTTGCTGGCTTTTAGCTTTGATAGTTGTTGGTCAGTATCTGAGTGTTAACTGCAGAACACTCGCCTAGCCTCACCAACCAACCTTGTCAGGATATGTGGCATAAACTCTTGTTTTCTGTACCTTGAGAAATAGTGAAGCTGTAGTGATGGTAATTAAAAGCCAAGGGAAAAAGTAAACAAAGTGAGAAAATGCATGTTCTTTAAAGAAAATAACCCTGTCTAACAACAAAAAGAAAACCTGATTGTTTTCCCTTTCTTGGCTGTTTCAAGCAGAAGTGCGCACATGGGCATTCGGGGTGGGGAGAAGACATGAGCCCAGTAACACCACTCTGAGAAAAGATGGTAAATATTCCAAAATGAGCATGCCCCTTGGTTAAAGCACGTCTATTAGAGTGCTGAAAGGGAGGAGGTTTTAATGAACAGAAAGCAGATGACAGGGGAAGAAAAAAAGCAGTCTGTGAAGAGTACCTGTTGCTAATTGTTAGTGTCACTTTGTCAGCTAGGTAATGAGAAGACAGATGAGGAGACAAGAGAAGTTGTCTCAGCATGTGAGTTGTAAGGCCAGAGGTTGCATGCTTCTAGTCTTCCATCCTCATTCTGAGGAGACATCAATAATATAGCTCACAAAATGAACATCTGGAATACCTCTTAAATATTTATGCCCATAAGTCTCATTGTTGCTGGGGTTAGTACCTGACAAAATGATTATTCTGTGCTGTAATTCAGAATGTATGTATTTATTAAATAAAAAAACTGTCTTGTTGACTTGCTTTAGAAAAGAGCCCTATTCTTGTGACAGAAAATTATAACACAGTTCTGATTAGAAATATGCAAACTGTTTCTAACATTAATTGGTCCCAAAGAAAATTATGGATGTATTGCATTTTCCTGTAT